TTAAGAACATGCTGTAGTATTTTTGACATAAAGGGCAGTATACTTATTGGTCGTAGATCTTTGAATTCTAGTACATCTGACTTTTTGGGAATAGGCTTAACAATGCCTATCTTCCACAATCTTGGGAAATATTCAGTAAGTATACAACTATTAATTATATTCACCAGTACATTCCCCATCAGTGGAAAGCACATCCCAAGGATATTCAAGCTTATGTCATCCACACCAGCAGCATTAGACTTAATTTTCTGCAATATATTAAATATATCATCCACATTAATTAACGAAAACTGAAATTTTAATTTTTGTAAATCTTCCCTAATATTGCTATCAAAAAAGCCATACATAGTGCCATCACATTGGTCAGTTTGAACGGCTTGCGGCACACACTTAACAAAATAATCATTAATTTTATTTACATCCCTCAAATGAGGTGGTAGGTCTGCAGATGTCTTTGACTTACCGATGTTGAGATAATTTAACTCCCTCCAAAGCATTTTAGGATTTTGTTGTTTAGATATATTATCAAAATATCTCCTCTTTTCTATTTTGACCATGCGAGTTACCATGTTCTTTAACTGTTTATATTGCTGCAATAATTCAGGTGTTTTCTGATTTTTAAATTTATTTTTAAGTTTATCCCGAGAAGATATTAGATATTTTAAATTTTCGGACATCCATGGAGCAGGTGGCTTAGTTAATCTGACGGTTTTATATGGTGCATGAGTGTCAAATATTGATATTAATGCATTATTTAGGTACTCAATTTTTTTTATCGATATCTCTTATATAATATATCTCTTCAAGATGTTGCCGCTCCAGATCTGAGGAAAGTTTCACGATATCAATATTTTTGAAGCTACGTAAATACTTGTAAGTAGGTGGTGTTTTAGGTAAAGAGAGAACAGTATAAATCGCATCGTGATCTGAAATCTCACAATTTATAACACCAGAATCATGCACAGTACTTAAAGAAGTTGTCAGGATCAAATCAATTAAAGTTGCAGTAGCATCTGAAACTCGAGTACAATCTTTAATAAGTTGAGTTAGGCTGTGATCTGTAATAAATTGACTTAAACTATTGTAAAGCGCATTATCAGTTCTAGAACAATCAATGTTATAATCACCTAAGCAAAAAACATGTTCACTATGCATCAGACCGTTTGTAAAGCTCCACTCCAACTCTTCAAAAAATTGTTTAACATCAGAAAGCGGCGGTCGATATATAACGCCACAAACAATATCTTGCGATTTAAATTTAATTTTTACCCATAACTGCTCAATGTTTACACACGAATCAATAATTTGAACTTTTAACGCATTAGAAACATATAAACCAACACCTCCTCCGCGAGAATCCCTATCTCTCCTCAAAAACCTATACCCGTCTATAGCTACATCAGATGATTTAATTCTTTTATCAAGCCAAGTCTCGCTTATGGCCAAAACATCACATTTATTTTGCATAACAAATAATCTAATGTCCCCGATTTTACCCGCCAATGATCGTACGTTGAGGTGATACAAACTAAACCGTTTATTTTTCTTAATAAAATTTATCATTAGAGTTATAGTTTATTTTCTGACTTGCTTCTTTTTCGGGGTATCTGATTCTTTCTTGAAGTTGTTTAACTACTCTTTTGTTTATAGTCTATATTTTTTTACTCTTTATTTTATAGTCTTTGTTTATAGTCTATATTTGGTACTTTTAAAACGTCAGATGTATATTTACAATTAGTACAACATACCTCGTTGGACTGGCAGCTATCTGACTTGTGTTCTCCTGCACATATCTGACAAATAGGCATTTCCTTTCTACATTCCTTTGCTAGGTGACCAAACTTCCAACACTTATAACATTGTCTGACATTTACACTGTCTTTGAAAAAACAGCTTTTCCATCCAATGTGTATTTTTTCTTTTCTTTGGATGCATTTGTAACTGTGCATATCCAATTGTAAAATAACATTAATCAATCCTTTACGATCTTTAAATTTATGGACAATTGTTAATTCTCTTTCATTTGGGTCTGTGTTCACAGTATT